ATTGGGGCGGGGCTTGTATGCTATAGTAAAATTGGCCCTGAGGCACAGCCTAAGATTTTATCTTTAATGGTCTTTTTTTATAGTGTTCATTACTTTTACTTTTATACTTTAAGTAGTTTTAAAACCAGTACTTTTATACTTTTACTTGAGTAAAAAGCTTGAATTGATACTTCTACTTCCAAAACAGTATTTTTAAACCCTAGTATCTATACTTCTACTTAAATAATGAATGTGAATACTTTTGACACCTCTGATGTTCCTGACATTCATGACCAAACGTCTCCTCAGGTTGGGCGGTTCTGTTTGTGTTCAACCACAGCTTCTGTTGTATTCAGGTTGGGTTTTAGACTGAGTTGTTTCAGAACAACTAACTGTTTCTCTTTAAAACACTCTAAAACACAAGTCAGATTAGATGAGTGTGTTTCAACTCAGGGGCTGTCGACTAAACTGATGTATGTTTGTGTGACCACGCACTGCCCTGTTACCACAGTGATACGTTTTAGATCAGTAGGTCACTAATTTTTTAATCACTTTATAGCTCTAGTATCAATGATTGTAGTTGCATTTTATTTAACATCTTATTGCAACATGAATTTTATCGCCACGTTGCTAAACTTACATTTAAAAATTAATTCTCCGGTTCATGATGAATTTTTAAACCATGCCAAATTAGTAAATAAATAAATAAAAAACAGTCTGCTGTCTTTGTTTTTCTGTTTAGTTTGCTGACAGCACTTTGAATGACACTTTGAAACTTGAAAAGTTGAATAATAATGGTTTTAGAGGACCAGCACTACAGTGGATATCTAGCTATTTGAAAAATTAGGAAACAATTTGTGCAAATAATGTAACATCTGACTTCTGTGACATCACATGTGGAGTTCCTCCAGGTTCTGTATTTGGTCCAAAGTTGCTTGTTTTGCATGTGAATGACTTGGTAAATGTGTCAGGGCTTTTTAAATGTGTACTATTTGCAGAAGACGCTGCATTGTTTTGTTTGTGGTAAAGATGTGTTCTTCAATCTAAATAATAAAATTATGGAACAATCTAGAGATTGATGTTAAAAATGCCAGATCAATGTTTGAGGATGGTAAAAGTTGGTTTGATGAATAAATATGAAATAATATGATTTGTATCTGTATGAATTGTTGCTTGAGAAGGAGTTATCATTGTTTTGTTTTTTGTTGTTGTTGCTTGAAGATTACTATTGTTTGAATAAATTTTTTTGAAAAGAGGGGCAGAAATAAGATTTTAAGCTAGCTACTAACAGTCAAGAACAGAAGAGGAAAGTAATTTGATAAATGTATCATGGGAGAGTTGCAGGTTATAACAAGCATAAATAAATAAAATTTAAAAAAATCTAAGTTTTATTTACAGTAAATAATTTTAAACTATATATATG